GTGATGTGGCACGTCATGGCAAGTCATGGCATGTCGTGGCATGTCACTGTGGCATTATATGGCAGAACATGGCACTACATGGCATGGCATGGTGTGGCATACCATGACATGGCATGACACGGCATGGCGCAATATGGCATGGCAGCACGTGGCATGGCACCATGTCACCACATAACCACGTCATCAAATCGCCACGTCATCACATCACCATGTCATCACATCGCCACATCACCATGGCACATACTTGTTGGCAATGCCGGTGGGGAGGGTGATGAGTCCCTTTTGGAACGACCCCACTGTCTGCCCCTTGGGCTTCGGCAGGCGCCTGCAGATACACTCGGTCAAGAGCGGTGAGGACAGGTGAGAAGGGGAGAGAGTGGGTGGAAAGGGATGGGTGCGTTAGAATCGGATTTGATGAGCCACCAAAGATGGCATCAAGGGCATCTGGTTACCATGTTACAGCACACTATGGGCTAACATCCATAATCAGCTTCATGGAGCCGCCAAAGATGCACCCCCCTAGCTGCGTCTGATAACTCCATTCATACCTAGTTACCACAATCCAGCACGTAACATACGGGCCACGGGGAAGCGGCGGGTTGGCCCACTTCTCCTTGATCAGCTTCATGGAGCCGCCAAAGATGGACCCGCCCAGCTGCTGCTAGCAGCATCAAGCGCACCTGGTTACCATGTTACAACACACTGTGGGCTAGCATGCATCACGTACAGGTCACGAGGGGGCGGCGGGTTGGCTTGCTTCTCCTTGATCAGCTTCATAGAGCCGCCAAAGATGGACCCTCCCAGCTGCTCCAGGCGCCACACCTTGCCGAACGCAGCCTTCATGCTGAGCTTTGATGGGTCTCCCGCGTACACACCTGCAGAAGGAAGAGGGTGTGGGGAGGTGGGTGTGTGGGGGAGAAAAGGCGAGGGTGGTGGCGGGGTTGAGGGGAAGGGGAGGAACGCGGCCTTCATGCTCAGCTTCGATGGATCTCCTGCGTACACACCTGCAGGGCGAGGAGCGGGAGCGGGGAGGGAGGAGCAGAAGGGAGAAGAGGGGGAGGCGGGGTGGGGGAATGAGGAAAGGGAGGAAGAGATGGAACCCCTCTGCTGCTCCAGGCGCCACTCCTTGCCGAACGCGGCCTTCATGCTCCGCTTCGATGGGTCTCCTGCATACACACCTGCAGGGCGAGGAGCGGGAGCGGGGAGGGAGGAGCAGAAGGGAGAAGAGGGGGAGGCGGGGTGGGGGAACGAGGAAAGCGAGGAAGAGATGGAACCCCTCTGCTGCTCCAGGCGCCACTCCTTGCCGAACGCGGCCTTCATGCTCCGCTTCGATGGGTTTCCTGCATACACACCTGCAGGGAGAGAGGGGAAGCGGAAGGGAGGAAGGGGGGAATGAGGGAGAAAAGGCCAAGGATGGGCGGAGGGAGGAGGAGAGAAACTCCGTAAGTGCCGCGCCACAGCTTGCCGAGCGCGGCCTTCATACTCCCACAGCTTTGAGAGGTCTTCTGCGTACACATTTGCAGTGAAGAACGGGGGGAGGGGGGGTTGGGGGAGAGTCGGGGACGGGGGTGGGGTTGAGGGAAGGGGAGGAACCCTCATGATTTCAGGCGCCACACCTTCCAAAACGCTGCCTCCACACTCACAACTTTGAGGGGTCACCTGCGTACACACATGCAGGGAGGGAAGGGAGGGGAGGGGGGGGAGGGAGGGGAGGGAGGGGAGGGAGGAGTGGTGGAGGAGGGAGTAAAGGGGCCATCCTAACTTCTCCAGCCCTAGCTTTTTGCCGAATGCTGCAGCCTCTCTGCCTGCCGCCTTTCTTGAAAGCAGAAGGACCCCTCCTGTGTGGCTGTGACCCCAAGCTTCCACCCACCCACCTTCTCAGCCACCCACCCTGTCACCTACCCACCCACCATTCAACCACGCACCCACGAACCCAGCGGCCTGCCCACCCACTCACCCAACCAGCCACCCAGCCACCCACCCACCGGAGCAGAAGGGCTCAATGAGGCGCTCGAACACCTCAGCGCCCAGATTGCGCCGCACAGCGCAAGCCCGTCTCTGCCTCCTACCACCCATCCACCCACTTTCCCCCCCACCCACCCACGGGCCCAGCCAGCCACCCACCCACCGGAGCAGAAGGGCTCAATGAGGCGCTCGAACACCTCTGCTCCCAGATTGCGCCGGACGAACTCCTCCACACTCTCCTCCTTGCCCTGCTCTCCACACACCATGCCATGTCATGCCACACACCATGCCACACCACGTCACGCCATGCAATGCAATGCAATGCAATGCAATGCAATGCAAGCGGGGTGAGTATGAGGAGGGAAGGGGTGGGCATGAGGAGGGAAGGGAAGGCAGGATGAGGGGACGGCAGGAGGAGGGAAGGGAGTAAGCTTGATAGGGGAAGGATGGACATGAGGTCGAACACGGGCAGGTCCAGCAGGCCGGCTGGCATGGGCGGAGCTTTTCCGAGGCGTCACAAATTACCACCCATTGCTTACCTCGGGAGCGCCGGGGCGGAGACCGAAAGCACCAAGGCCGGCCCGGATATTGCCGATGATGGACATGAGGTCGAACACGGGCAGGTCCAGCAGGCCCGCTGGCACGGGGGGCAACGTTCACCTCACTCAAACACTCACCTCGGGAGCGCCGGGGCGGAGACCGAAAGCACCAAGGCCGGCACGGATCTTGCCGATGATGGACATGAGGTCGAACACGGGCAGGTCCAGCAGGCCGGCCGGCACGGGGCGCAGACGGCCCTCCCAGAAGACGAAGCGGGGCGCGTCGGGGTCTCCGAGAACCAGCTGGTCGATGACCCCGCTGTCCAGCTGGCGTGGGTTGGGGGGGAAAGGACACGGCACGGGGTGAGACGCACGCACGGGGCGCAGGCACCCCTCCCAGAAGACGAAGCGGGGCGCGTCGGGGTCTCCCAGGACGAGCTGGTCGATGACCCCGCTGTCCAGCTGCAAGGTGGGTTGGTGAGTTGTGGGGTGAGAGGAGAAAGGACACGACAGGGGCAAGGACACGGGCACATGGAGGGTGGGGGCAGGGCAGCGAGGGGATGGCAGGGAATGGCAGGGTGCTAGCAGGAGCTGCATTTCGCGTTATCAGTCGTCGCGGTAATCCTGTGTAATGACGCCTCGCTAGACTAACCTTTTTCATGCCACAAGCCAAGCCGTCCTCCTTCGCGTTACTGGGTCAAGAGAATATCAAAACAGAATAAAATGCGCGCCCACGCAAATTTGCGGTTGACGACTCAGCGGCGAGAAAGGGCCACAACAATGGTGCAAATTCATCCGTAAAAAGAAAACGTGTATAATTTCTCAATACCAAAAACCGCCAAATTCAAGCTGTATATATGCAGGTTCAACCGTTATCTGGTCACGCAGACACCACATGGAATCCCATTTGACCTGTAAGGCTCACATCCTTTGCCAGTGCAGGCTTGCGGCTCTTTGGAGAGTCGGATTTGTAAATTCAAGACCTTGCGACACAGCGCGCGACCAGAATAGCCCGTACCGCGCATCGGAGCGCAGCGTCGCTCGCCTAATGTGCCTTTTTTATAACGCGGATGACAGTCCAAACACTATCGCACGTTTGAGCATAGCGTCGTTGTATTGGAAGCTATTGGACCCTTCTTCCCACAGATTCCCCTCATCCGCCGTCCCCGGCTCGTTTGAATTGAAGCAGTAAAAAAAAAGCGATTTGCTTCTTTATAACGCGGATGAATACTTACCGCGCATTTAAGCATGGCGTCGTTGGGTTGGAAGCTGTTGGGCCCCTCTTCCCACAAATAACCTTCATTAGCCGTCCCCGCCTCGCCGACCACCGTCGTGATGTTGCCACCCACGCGGTCGCGCGCCTCCGTTACAATCACCTTCGACACAGTGTCCGCGTGATCCGTGGTTAGAGCGAGACCCGTGCACAGGCCCGACACGCCGGCGCCGACGATAACGACGTCAGCTTCCTCTACTGCGACGGATGCGCTAACGGCTGCGACGACGTGCGACAGTGAGCGATTGAATTGGCTCGCGTGTGACTGCCGGCGAGAGATCTGCGATCGTAGGATAGCACGATCGGGAATTCGGCTGCCGCTGAGCAGGCGACTCGAGAGGTTTGCTTGAAAGAGGGCGACACGTTGACTGACTGCTGACGTGGCGTCACGACGGGTCGCAGGAATGAAATCTGCGCGTGCGACCGACGTCGCACGCGAGGTGCTCATGGTCAGAGCTTGCGCCATGGCGGCGACAGACGGCTAATTCCGACCTTGACGGCAAAAACGAACACTTGAGATGACTCAAGCTGATTGCCGACACAGCAGTCTCGCGCTTCTATATACCTCGCTCGCAGCTAGTTCTGCTTTCTACTGCTCCAAACTTTGGTTTCAAACCATTGCCATTGCAGTCAGTCACATACGTCAGCTTGCTTACGTGTGAGAGACGTATGTGACTGATGGCAATGGCAATGGCGTGGAGGAGGTAGCAGCGCAAGGGGGTGTTGCGCGCATTCGCTATTACTTAGAAACAACCATGGGTCTTGTTGGGTCTATTGCGTTTCAGAGCGGTATATTACTAGACCGCTGTAGTGAACTATCGCGGACGAATTCCCGCATCTCCACATTGCGCGGCGCGCGGAGCTGGATTTTTGCAGAGCGGGTGCTGTGCTGCTGCTTGTTGCATTCCCTGTACCCGCGAAGCTTCAGTGGTCCACCTGGCAAATCGCGGAAATGTTTGCTCTGTGTTCTGGTTGGCTTGTGACTGGATAGCGAACATTCCCTGACACGTGGCACCAGAAGACTGTCAGCGCAATCTAGATTTCGGGAACTCCGATATAATTAGTTGATTGCCACACTTCCTGAAAATTAAAACTCAATCCATCTCATGTGACATTCACCCAATAAAACGAGTAGTGTTTCTGCACAATAGAATGCAATCTCCTCAAATTCCGTATATCGTATGTTAAAACAGCAATGGCACATCCATCAGCAACACAACCTATCATGTTTTAAGCACCACCTTGTGCACCATCGCCTCCTTGTGAATGTGATGGCAGCTCGTCTCCACAAGGTCAAGCAGCTTCGCAATGTCACTCGCCCATTTATCCAGCAGCTGCACTCCACTCTCCTGCCTCTCGCCGAACGTGACAATCCCCGCCGGCCGGTCGATCTTAGCCACCAGTACCTTCTCCACCACCATGTCTGATAGAAACTTCTCCGCCTCCTGTTCGGGAAAAGGGTTAAAAAAAAAAAAAACGGATAGAAAGGGCAAAACTAGTCAGTGCATATTAATTTGAAAGTCTCCAACGAATGTAGCAACCCAGAATTGTGCTGTAGACAACCTATAAGGAATCAACGATCAACATAAAAAGCCGACTAGGAGCTGCAGCCATGATGCTGCACCTGAGTATCATCCAGTGCTCTCGCCTTGCAGAACAAACCACCGTACAAGCAAGCTTCAAGTGACGAGGAAACACACGCACGCAGTGAAGCGAGCGACGCAGAGGAGCTGGACAAGCAGCGCAAATCTGAATCACTTTTGAGGAATTTCAAAATTGACTCGGATTAAGGTTGAGGTGATGGGATAACGCACCTGGACAGTGAGGGAGAGCAGCTGAGCAAGCCGTGCCATGGTGATGCGCACATAATACTTGGACACCACCAGGATGTTCTGATGGGGTAAGGACATGCGGAGGGATATGGGGCAAAGAACGGAAGCAGGAGGGTGAAAGACAAGGCAATGGTAATGATGCGCACATAGTACTTGGACACCACCAGGATGTTCTGACGGGGTGACGATGAGGGGTGGGGGAGGGGGATTTTAGGGGAAAAGGAAGACAAGGCAATGGTGATGCGCACATAGTACTTGGACACCACCAGGATGTTCTGAGGGGGTAAGAGTATGGGGGGTAGAGGGGGCGATATGGGGAAATGGAAGAGAAGGTGACGGTGATGCGCACATAGTACCTGGACATGACCAGGATGTTCAGAGGATGAGGGGAGGGTTCATACACGGCGGACAATGGAAGCAGAAGAGTGAAAAACGAGGTGATGAAGATGTGCACGTAGGTGGGTAACAGAGACTGAGCAGAGTCGTACCTCCTCGTGGAAGAAAGAGGTAGGAAATACAGGGCTGTGGGCAACGACATTGAAATCACTTTTGAAATCACATTGAATTCTCAAAAGTGGAAACACAGGGCTGTGGGCAACGACACATACTTGCTGGATGGCGTGCGTGCAGGCGCAGATGGAAGGAAGACAGGTGAATGGATGGGTAGAGGGAACCCAGAGCCATGCACGGTAACATACGTGCTAGATGGAGCCAGAGAGCAGACGGCACGTACGTGCTGAATGGATGAATGAAGGGCATACAAGAGAGCAGAGGCGCGGCACTGCAACACGTACATGCTGGATGACGCGCAGGCGCAGGTCCTCGAGAGCAGTGTCTTTGAGGTAGACAGGCGGATGGATGAAGGGGGATGGAGCACAGGGCGACGGACCGCGACAAAGTGCCTAGAGCAGCGGGACAGCAACACATACATGCTGAATGACGCGCAGGCGCAGGTCCTCAAGAGCCGAGTCTTTGAGGAAGACGGTGGGCTTCTCCTCCTGCATCTCCGCACTGTAATCCGCCTGCAGCTGCGGCCACCCCACCACCTCCATCGTTATAAACAGCTTCAGCAGCGCGCTGTGAGGGGGATAAAAAAGGGGGGTGTGTGTGGGGTGATGGGCACGTGAGTAGGGAGCGAGGATCACTGGCAGTCCCTCCGCCTGCATATGTGACCACCCCAGCCCCATCGTTATGAACAGGTAACATCGTCAGTAGGGCGCTGCATGTGGGGTGAACCGGGAATGGGGAGAGGGGGGGTGTGGGGCGCACAAGAGTAGGGAGTGAGGAGGAGGGTGTGGGGCACATCGTTAGCAGTCCTTCCGCCTGCCTGCAGCTGCGGCCACCCCACCACCTCCATTGTTATGAACAGCTTCAGCAGCGCGCTGTTAGGGGGGGAAGTGGTGGAGAGGAAGCAACAGGAGTGAGAAGCGAGTTCCACGGAGGCTCACAGGCAGTCTCTCCGCCTGCAGCTGCGGCCACCCCACCCCACCACCTCCATTGTTATGAACAGCTTCAGCAGTGCGCTGTGAGAGGTGGGGGAAAGAAGGTTACACGAGATGAGAGTAAGGAGCACGTGCGAGAATGAGGTTAGAACGAGGTCTAAGGGAACTCGGGGAGGTCGAGTCGAGGAGGTGCAGAGCGGTGAGAAGGGGTTTGGGGGAAGACAATGTCCCTTCTCCTCCTCCTCCGCGCTGTAATCAGCCTGCAGCTGCTTATCAAAAACCAGCTGCGGCTGGAACTTCGGAACGTCAAGGAGGATGAATCGTGAGTGGAGTGGAGGAGACCGCGCGGTGCAGAGCGGTGAGAGGGGGTGAAAGCGGGTGAGAGCAGTTTTTAGTGGACTGATATCAGTAACCACAGGTGTAGTTGACAGATTTTGAAACTTGGGGTAAGGTGAGAGAGGGGAGAGATCAGCGAAGATGGAGAGGGGGAGAGAGGACTGCATGCTCCCGTGCAGGGTGGTGAGGTGAGAGTAGGTGAAAGTGCTACAGAGTAGTTGAGAGTGGTTGAGAGGGGTGAACGCAGATGAGGAGGGTTACCGGAACTTGGGGAGGTCGAGGAGGTGAGGATCGGAAAAGGTGGAGTGGAGGAGGGACGATTGCATGCTGCCATGTGGAGAGAGGCCTAGAAGCAGTGAGAGGGGTTGAGAGTGGTGCTCGCAGGTGGGGATGACAGTTACCGGAACTTGGGGAGGTCGAGGAGGTGAGCGTCAGCAAAGGTGGAGTGGAGGAGAGACGACTGCATGCTGCCGTGAGGCGCCAGCACGAGATACCAGCAGATGCGCTTCAACACCTGGGTGGGGGGGAGTGGGGGGGGGGGAGGGAGACAAAAACAGATGCAGCATATGTGCGTGCTGAGCACGTGGAGAGCGAAGGTGGAGTGGAGGAGGGACGATTGCATGCTACCGTGTGGTGCCAGCACGAGATACCAGCAGATGCGCTTCAGCACCTGGGTGGGGTGTGAGGGAGAAAACGCACAGAATGAATGCAGCATGTGGGGTGCATGTGGGGAGAGATGTGAATGTGAAGAGTGCATGAGTGGGAGGCATGACAGAAGAGGAGTAGAGAGCACGGGATACCAGCAGGTGCGCTTGAGCACCTGGGGGTGGGAGGAATGCATGCAACACGTGCGGTGCATGTGGGGTGCATGTGGGTGCATGCGAGGAGCATGTGGGGAGAGCGGAGGGCTTGACAGCACCAGATATCAGCACGCAGCAACGCGCACATGCAGCATGTCGTACTCACCGGGATCCACCTCTCCTGGTCGGCCTTGACTGCCGGTGTGTCGTAGATGTTCTGATAGCACCGACAGATCTCCAGATAGTCACTTCAGCAGCAGGCAAGCACTCACCAAAAGCACAGGCAGCGACACTCACCGGAATCCACCTCTCCTGGTCGGCCTTGACTGCCGGTGTGTCGTAGATGTTCTGATAGCATCGGCAGATCTCCAGATAGTCATTCGCGTTTAGCAGCACAGCAGCAGGCAAACGCTTATGCAACAGCCACCACCACAAGCAGCACTCACCGGAATCCAGCGCTCCTGGTCGGCCTTGACTGCAGGTGTGTCGTATATGTTCTGGTAGCACCGGCAAATCTCCAGATAGTCGTTCGCGTTTGTGTGGTAGCTGCAGTGGGGGGGGAGGGGGGAGATCGAGGCAAGGGGAGTGGGGGGGGGGGAATTTAGGAGAGGGGAGTGGGGGATTGAGAGGCCTAAGCAGCCAAACACGTTTTAATAGCAGCACCAAATCTCCAGGCCTCAGACGCCAATATGAAATTATTCATTGGTATCAGCTGCAGGGACGCACCGGACAGCACCACACAGCACCTCACTGGATCATGAGCTCATAAAATTTTGGCTTCAGCTCCACCAGCGTCGGCGCATCAGGCACAGCGGGCTCACACCTCTTTCCTTCAGCCCTCACGCCTCACTTGTCGACGCCATATCAACCTGTACCCGACCCGACCGCATAGAATCTCACCGGATCATGAGCTCGTAGAACTTGAGCTTCAGCTCCACCAGCGTCGGCACATCAGGCGCAGCCGGCTGAATCTCCCCCTCCTCCTTCGGCCCCTTCCGCTTCTTCCTCGTCCTCTTATTCACAGCATCATCACCTCGTAGAACCTCATCAGTCCACATGCTCTCGTACCACACCCAAAAACAACTCACCTCACAAAACCGCACAGAACTGCACAGCACCTCACCGAATCATGAGCTTGTAGAGTTTCAGCTTCAGTTCAGTTCCACCAGCGAGGGCACATCAGGCTCAGCCGGCTAAATCCCCCCCTCCTCTTTCGGCCCCTTCCTCTCCTCCCTCCTTCACTTACTCACAGCATCATCACCTGGTTGCACCTCACCAGTCCACGCCCTCTCATACCACACAAAACAGCACCTCACCGCACAGAACCTCACAGCACCGCACAGCACCTCACCGGATCATGAGCTCGTAAAACTTCAGCTTCAGCTCCACCAGCGTAAGCACATCAGGTGCAGCCGGCTGGATCTCCCCCTCCTCCTTGGGCCCCTTCCTATGCTTCCTCCCTCTCTTACTCACAGCATCATCACCTTGTCGCACCACACCAGTCCACACGCTCTCAACCCACACCCAACGACACTTCACCGCGCAGAACCGCACTGAACCTCACCGGATCATGAGCTCGTAGAACTTGAGCTTCAGCTCCACCAGCGTGGGCACATCAGGAGCAGCGGGTTGGATCTCCCCCTCCTCCTTGGGCCCCTTCCTCTTCTTCTTCCCCTCCTCCTTCCCCTCCCCACCACCCGCTGCTGCTGCCGCCTCTGCCGCCTTGGCCTTCTCAGCAGCCTCCACGGTCTCGGAGGCGAATGCACGCGGGCTGATCTTCTTGGCAAGAATCTGCGCTCGCATGAAGTCATCTGAATCCAGACACAGGCGGACCTGACATAGGGAGAAATGGTGGGGGGGAAGGGTACGCATGAGCTCCCACGGTCTCTGGGTTGAATGCACGCGGGCTGTCTTTTCTCGCGAGGATTTGCGCTCGCATGAAGTCACACGATTCGAGACGCAGGAGGACCTGGGATCTGGGAGAACGGGTGGGAGGATGAGAGGGGTTGAATTGAAAAGATCTGATATGCACATGCATGAAGTCAAAAGAATTCAGACGCAGGCGGACCTGGCACAGGGAGAGCGGGCAGAGGCACAGGGAGAGCGGGCAGAGGCACAGGCGAACGTTGAGTCGAATCAAAAGTCGCACCACACTGACTGACGTAGAGCTAAGAGAGTGGTGAGGCTCACCTGCTCACCAGCTCACCTGTTCGGCTCATCACCTGCTCTAGGATGAAATCGATCTTCCGTGTCTTTGCCATGGCTCCAAACGTCACACACATGTACTGCTGAGAGACTGATGGTGTGAGAGTCAAGGCTCACCTGCTTGAGCGCAGACTGAACGCTCACCTGCTCTAGGATGAAGTCGATCTTCTCTGTCTTTGCCATGGCTCCAAACGTCTCCACCTGGCATAAGAACCAACGACAGAGGGATGAAGGGGAGCGGAGAGGAGTGGAGAGGAGTGGAGAGGAGTGGAGAGGAGTGGAGAGGCATGAGCGGAGGAAACATTGCAAGGTTGAGAGGCATAAAAGACGGCAAAGTGGTTACAAGGAGGAAAGGACAGGGCACAATGGCATGGCAAGAGCAGGGCGTGAGGCACTCACCGCCACCTCCTGCATGATTTCAGCCGCCTCCTTCACCTTGCCCTCAGGCAGCAGAGACAGAGGGCGATGGCATGGGGCCCTCACAGCACAACCAAGACAGCAAGGGCGGGCAAGAGACCACTCACCGCCACCTCCTGCATGATTTCAGCCGCCTCCTTCACCTTGCCCTCAGGCAGCAGAGACAGAGGGCGATGGCATGGGGCCCTCACAGCACAACCAAGACAGCAAGGGCGGGCAAGAGACCACTCACCGCCACCTCCTGCATGATCTCTGCCGCCTCCTTCACCTTGCCCTCCGCCTCCTTCATACGCGCCAGACGCTTCACCAGGCGCGCCCTCTCTATCTCCACGTAGATCTGAGGGGGGAGGAGGGGTGGAGAAGAGGGAGAATGGAGGGAGAGGCAGGAGAGGGAGACGGAGAGGCAGGGAGGTGAGCGGACGAATACAGCAGCATATGGGAGGAGCTGCTGTGCCAGGCGCTTCACCAGGCGCGCCCTCTCTATCTCCACGTAGATCTGAGAAAAGAGGGGGAGAGGGAAGTGGGATGGTGGAGTGGGTGGAGAGGCAGCGAGCGAGGTGAATGGACGGAGCCAGCATCGAACAAAGCATGGCTGCTTGCGCCATGGGCAGAGAGATGGACAACTGCTGCGCACCATGCCTCTCTCCCTCCCTCCCAACCCCCGAAAGCACACCTTGCTCCCTCTTCCCCCTCCCTCTCCCCCCCCCCAGGCGCACCTAGTCCCCAGAGGCGCGCCTTGGCCCCCTCTCCCCTTCACTCCCTCCCTCCCTCCCCTCCAGCAGCGAACCTCCCCCACCCTCCCCTCAGAGCTGCACTTCGCCCCCCCCTCCCCACCTCGCCCCACCATCTCCCGAGAGCCGCACCTTGCCGGCTGTAACCCCACTGAGCGTCTTGATAAGCTCCTCGCGGATGACGTCATCAGGTGCGTCATCCACGTACTTCATGGCCTCCTGCACCATCGCCGCCACGACCTGCGATGAGGCGAGGGAGGGGGGGGAGGGCCACGGGGCATGGGGGCATGGGGTCCACCAAAAGGCACGGGGCATGGGGATATGGGCACGGCAATGGGGGGGCACGGGGAGATGGGGACATGCGGGCATGCGGGTATGGGGCATCTGGGTATGAGCGATGGTGCATGAGATTGGGATCCGGGCATGGGGTCATGGGGATCGGATTGGAGATGGGTACGGGATGAGAAAGGGATGGGCAAGGGTTCGGAAAGGAGGACGAGGAAGGGATGGGCATGGGGATGGGGATAGATGGGGAAGAGAATGGTGTGCGATGAAGAGAAAGCAGGACACGAAGGGCATGGGGATGGTGCATGGTGCATGATGCATGATGCATGATGCATGATGCATGATGCATGATGGATCACCCACCAAATCCATCACCCACCCATCCATCACCCACCCATCCATCACCCACCCATCCATCACCCATCACACACATCCCAATCTTGAACCCCACCTAGGCACCCCACCGAAGCTTTCGCCACAGCGCTCGGCTGCCTCGGCCCACCGAGGCACCCCACCTGAGCGTCCCACCTGCTTCAGCTGCGCTCGGCGCTTCGACAGCGCCACAATTTGCTCGTTGAGAAGCTTCCACGCAGCTGCCTCGTGGCAGACCTTGAGAATGGCAACCGCCACCGTGCGTGTCCCCACCACGTCAGCAGCCTGGGCCGATTCAGGTTGGACAAATTCAGGTCAGGTGGGCGGCAAATAGGATGATGCAACGGTTAGCGACTGAGGCATGACAGGGAGGGCAACCGAGCAACCAACGAGACAGGTAGTGGTATCAGGGCAAAAAAAAAAAGAGCGGAGTGAGGGAGAGAGAGGAAAGTGAGTAGAGAGAAAGAGAGGCGGCGAGAGAAAGGAGGAAACGGAGGAAGTCACGTCATACCAGGCGCATCTGCTTCTCCAAGCCCAGCAACGCGTCAAGAGCTTCAGTCAGCCTCCCCTCCTGCGCGCACGTAGCAGGGATTGCATCCGCGCACAGCAGAACACCGAAGCACAATTGAGAATTGTCAAGAGATAGATATGACTCAGGAATTTGACATCTGACTTTTGCGTCGACTCAAATGTCAGAAGTGAACGCTAATAGAGATTCAGTCAGTCTTCCCTACTGCAAGCACAAGAAGTTGTGGATCTGGGCATAGAAGAGGGATCCGATTCAGGCACAGAAGGAGACCAAACAAGAAAGACGGAGGGTCTAAACCTGAACAGCACAGCGGGCGTGACCTATAATAGGACGAGAAGAAGGCTATATTTTCTGAAGTCTCTAGAACGATTCACTTTTGCGTCTCACTGGTGTACGATCCGACGGACGAATAGCAGTGATCGTATCCGCATCGAACGGCGCGTTCGCATCTCACTGACCGTACTCTTCCGCATGAAACCTATATCGATTCCGAATCCGTTCCTCATCCATAGCCCTTGGAATCCGCACCGATTCCTCATATATTCACCATGAATAAACTCCTCTGAATAAATTCCCAAAGGATTCACTACAAGAGGCCGCACTTCCACAGCATCTCTCGACGGCCATCGTTGGCGACTTGCACATGCGAAGCGCGTCACGCCCCGTGCACGTCGCTTGCACGTCCCATAAGCGTCGTTCGCACGTCCCTCAAAAGGCTATACGGCTATCGTCCCTCGTGCAGGTTGACGGCGCGCCCCTAATCCGCGACTCTTAGCTCGTCCACACGACTGTGTCATCTACGATCTGCGACGCTGGTCACTGATGCTGCTGATGCTGATGCTGGCAACGACACAGCTACGTCTACGACACTCTCAGACTCCGGTAGCCTCGTCAGTATGGCCGTACCTTAGGCCTGCACTACACGGCGGCTGAAAAAACGCCGAAGCAAGTAACCGGGTAACCCTAGTACCTTGAGAGCCACATCTCGCTGGTGGTCCACGTCCCTCTCGAGCTTGTCGTAGTCGATCGCCTTGTTCTTCCCCTCGGGCGCCGCGATCGACCGATCGTCCTCCTCCATGCCTGCCTGCCGAACCTACAACCTCTTTAAAGCGCTACCACTCTGGAAAGGAAAAACCTCTCGAAAATTCCTGGGAACGCGTAAAATAACGTGGTATCGCGGCTGGATCCTGGAAGGTGTAAAACTACCGGTGCCGCGAGACTGCTGGTTCTCGGCAGGGGAAAATCGACAAGCAGATTCAACAGCAGCAGAAGCAGCACAGGAAAGCAGGGAGGCACACTGCGAGATTCGGATGGAAACTGTGTTGGAGGATGGAGCTGGTAAGGGAAGGTCCGACACTCATTAGAATAAGAAAAAGAGAGTACAGCATGTTAAAAAACTCAAGTTACCAGATTCCAACTGCTGCAAAAAAGGTAAATTGATTTCCTAGCTTTTTAGTGTCCACGTTCAGAAAAGCTAGACCACAATTATTGGGGCATGGGAATAAAGGGGGAAAAGTGGGCTGTGGTACCATACATGGTACCATACCTTGTTGTTAGACTATGAATAAATTACTACCAACAAATCAAGTCCTTCCTCTCTGGATAACAAGCCATCTACTCTATCCTGAATGATATAACAAACTGATTGACGTCTTACGACAGTCCCGCTCGGGCTTGATTCCGTTGCCCCTAAAGGCTCATAACCTCAAGCACCAGTGGTCTGTAATCGGCTTACGCCAATGCAAATGAAGCTGCTTCCCCTGTGCAGGTTCTTGCCAACGATGGTCGTCCAATTGCCTTTCGGTTTCCCCTTCAGCGCAAGCGCCACTTCTGTTGTCTTGAACATCGCAAATCCAGATACTTTTTTTCTCCGGAAAAGCTTGCCGTTGTTGAGTAGAAGCGGGATCGACGACCCAAGAGGTAGCCTTTTTATCTTGGAAAATGGATACATGCCCTTGACGACGTTGTAGGAAATGCTTTTCATGAGATTGATCGCATCTTCCGGGGTTTTTGGCTCGTTGAGGAGGCCACTCTGCTTGAGCGCAAAATCGGTGGGGATTAAGACCGTGTTGTAAAAAAACGGGGACCAGTCTATGTCACCAGGAACCGTCGCTGCAAAGGACGGAAATGGGAAGGGTTGGGGAGTGGCATGGAAAAGGCAGGAGTGAAGACGATGCAACGAAGTTGGTCTCTTCTAGCATGTGCTGACGACCCAGCAAAAACGCAAGCACATAAATCTCCCGCCGGGAGACTCGCCAGCGCTAAGGGCCTACCTCCCCGCGTGATAATTTGACCGACTGCTTGATTCATAATTATGAATTGGAATCGCTTCGATAGCTTGCCCTGCAGCTCCTTTAGCTCCTTAATTATCTGTTGCGTTGTCGGCGCCGCCACGGCTGAACTGACTAGGGTCAGCGTAAGTACTACAGCTAGAAAAGCTCGGGTTGACATGGCCTCTAGTAGTCCGTTCAAAAAGCACTGCATATGAATTGTGAACGAAATGTCTCAAGACTCAGGGCTAGAGCACGTAATTGTCACATACAGGGAGGAGAGTGCAAGACAGGGCCAGGTAGGGGCAGAAACAGGAGGCTTCGAGTACGTCGTTCGCCAAATGCATTGACGAGGTTGTTCTGCCACAGCCACGTGATTTTTGGGTTGCGTAGCAACCTTATACATTTGGTTTCACTTTTTGGGGAACTGACCGTAAACAGTGGTTTTTCCCTGCCCGTTTGGAAAAAAATACTGTTCAACTTTTTAGTTGCCCCAAAAATGTAAAACCAAATGTAACCAATAATTCCATAGTCGTCGATAAGTACGGCAAATGGAACAATTGGTTGGACACGAACGTGTACAAAAACCACATGCTGAAATTTTGAACATTTCGAGGCAAACACTAAATGCATCAATGCTGCAACTGAGATTGATATGGTACGGAAAAGGCGAGCAAAGCTGCCCCACCGACGATGACAACCCCTGTTGCATAAATGATGCATTTAGCACCACCCCAAAACAGACCCAAACGACAGCACACGAACTTGTACAAAATCGAGAAACACCAGTTGTGAGTGCTTCGAAGCTAATGCTAGAATGCATCGTTAATGCAACTGCGATTGATCTGGTATGGAAGAGGCAACCAAAGCTGCCCCACCAACGATCACAACCGCAATTGTATACACGAGGCACTTAGCACTCACCCCGAAACAGAGACACACAACTACATAGCCTACATGTACGCACACACATACGCAGAGAGAAAAACACGCAGAAACATACAGCTAATACTAAGCATGCAAGCATAGCCAATGAAGTTCACCAATTAATAAACCATCGCTACCTTGCCCCCCATTCCCCTCCCTCCCCTACTCCCTGATCTCCCTTAACCCTCCCTACACCCCTCCGTCCCTCCTTCCCTCATCTCCCTCCCACTCCCTCCCTCATCTCCCTTCTCAGCTCACGCGCCCTGCACAAAGCGAAAACAGAGAAGTTCACACACACACGACCTGCACACAGCAAAAACAGAGAAGCAAACACACACACGGCCTGCACACAGAAAAAACAGAGAAGCAAACACACACACGGCCTGCACACAGCAAAAACAGAGAAGCAAACACACACACGGCCTGCACACAGCAAAAACAGAGAAGCAAACACACACACGGCCTGCACACAGCAAAAACAGAGAAGCAAACACACACACGGCCTGCACACAGCAAAAACAGAGAGGCAAACACACACACGGCCTGCACACAGCAAAAACAGAGAAGCAAACACACACACGGCCTGCACACAGCAAAAACAGAGAAGCAAACACACACACGGCCTGCACACAGCAAAAACAGAGAAGCAAACACACACACGGCCTGCACACAGAAAAAACAGAGAAGCAAACACACACACGGCCTGCACACAGCAAAAACAGAGAAGCAAACACACACACGGCCTGCACACAGCAAAAACAGAGAAGCAAACACACACACGGCCTGCACACAGCAAAAACAGAGAAGCAAACACACACACGGCCTGCACACAGCAAAAACAGAGAGGCAAACACACACACGGCCTGCACACAGCAAAAACAGAGAAGCAAACACACACACGGCCTGCACACAGCAAAAACAGAGAAGCAAACACACACACGGCCTGCACACAGCAAAAACAGAGAAGCAAACACACACACGGCCTGCACACAGCAAAAACAGAGAAGCAAACACCTTAGAAGCCGACATCCTAAACACTAGTGCAGAAAGCGACACTCGTTTGCATTAGTCCCAGCTGCCCAAGCACCAGCAGAATAGATGCTAGTGCATATGCCCCAGCGTGCTCATAAAGCTCTCTCGTGCGTTCTCTCACGCACTCTCTCACGCACTCTCTCACGCACTCTCTCACCTGCTCTTTCAGGGCTCTCTCACGTGCTCTCACATGCTCTCACGCGCTCCCTCACGCGCTCTCTCACACTTTCTCTCACGCGCTCTCTCACGTGCTCAATCACGCCCTCTCTCACGTGCGCTCTCACGCGCGCTTTCACGCGTCTCTCACGCGCTCTCTCACGCGCTCTCTCCACGCTCTCTCACGCGCTCTCTCACGCGCACTCTCACGCGCTCTCTCATGTGCTCTCTCACACACTCTCTAACACGCTCTCTCACGCGTTCTCTCACGCGCTCTCTCACGCGCTCTCTCACGCCCTCTCTCACGTGCGCTCTCACGCGCGCTTTCACGCGTCTCTCACGCGCTCTCTCACGCGCTCTCTCCACGCTCTCTCACGCGCTCTCTCACGCGCACTCTCACGCGCTCTCTCATGTGCTCTCTCACGCATTCTCTAACACGCTCTCTCACGCGCTCTCTCACGCGCTCTCTCACGCACGCTTTCACGCACGCTTTCAGGCGTCTCTCACGCACTCTCTCATGCGCTCTCTCACGCGCTCTATCACACGCACTCTCACACGCTCTCTCACGTGCCCTCTCATGCTCTTTCTCATGCTCTCTCTCACGCGCTCCCTCTCGCGCTCTCTCACGCGAACTCTCATGCGCTCTCACGCGCTCTCTCACGCTCTCTCTCACGCACTCTCTCACGCACTCTCACGCGCTCTCTCACGCCCTCTCTCACGCCCTCTCTCACGTGCGCTCTCGCGCGCGCTTTTACTCGCTCTCTCACGCGCTCTCTCACGCGTCTCTCACGCGCTCTCTCACGCACTCTCACGCACTCTCTCACGCGCTCCCTCACGCGCACTCTCACGCGCTCCCTCACGCGCTCTCTCACGCGCTCTCTCACACGCTCTCTCACGCGCTCTCTCACGCGCACTCTCATGCGCTCTCTCACGCGCTCTATCACACGCACTCTCACGCGCTCTCTCACGCGCTCTCTCACGCGTTCTCTCACGCGCCCTTTCATGCTCTTTCCCATGCTCTCTCTCACGCGCTCCCTCTCGCGCTCTCTCACGCGAACTCTCATGCGCTCTCACGCGCTCTCTCACGCTCTCTCTCACGCACTCTCTCACGCACTCTCACGCGCTCTTTCACGCCCTCTCTCACGCCCTCTCTCACGTGCGCTCTCGCGCGCGCTTTTACTCGCTCTCTCACGCGCTCTCTCACGCGCTCTCTCACGCACTCTCTCACGCGCTCTCTCACGCGCTCCCTCACGCGCACTCTCACACGCTCCCTCACGCACTCTCTCACGCGCTCCCTCACGTGCTCTCTCACACGCTCTCTCACGCGCTCTCTCACGCGCACTCTCATGCGCTCTCTCACGCGCTCTATCACACGCACTCTCACGCGCTCTCGCACGCGCTCTCTCACGCGCTCTCTCACGCGCCCTCTCATGCTCTTTCTCATGCTCTCTCTCACGCGCTCCCTCTCGTGCTCTCTCACGCGAACTCTCATGCGCTCTCACGCGCTCTCTCACGCTCTCTCTCACGCACTCTATCACGCACTCTCACGCGCTCTCTCACGCCCTCTCTCACGCCCTCTCTCACGTGCGCTCTCGCGCGCACTTTTACGCGCTCTCTCACCCGCTCTCTCACGCGTCTCTCACGCGCTCTCTCACGCACTCTCTCACGCGCTCTCTCACGCGCTCCCTCACGCGCTCTCTCACGCGCTCCCCCACGCGCTCTCTCACGCGCTCCCTCACGTGCTCTCTCACACGCTCTCTCACGCGCTCTCTCACGCGCACTCTCATGCACTCTCTCACGCGTCTCACTCGCTCTCTCACGCGCTCTCTCTCACGCGCTCTCTCTCACGCGTCTCACGCGCTCTCTCACGCGCTCTCCCACGCGCTCTCTCACGCTCTCTCACGCACTCTCACGCGCTCTCTCACGCCCTCTCTCACGTGCGCTCTCGCGCGCGCTTTTACGCGCTCTCTCACGCGCTCTCTCACGCGTCTCTCGCACGCTCTCTCACGCACTCTCTCACGCGCTCTCTCACGCGCTCCCTCACGCGCTCTCTCACGCGCTCCCTCACGTGCTCTCTCACACGCTCTCTCACGCGCTCTCTCACGCGCACTCTCATGCACTCTCTCACGCGTCTCACTCGCTCTCTCACGCGCTCTCTCTCACGCGCTCTCTCTCACGCGTCTCACGCGCTCTCTCACGCGCTCTCCCACGCGCTCTCTCACGCTCTCTCTCACGCACTCTCACGCGCTCTCTCACGCCCTCTCTCACGCCCTCTCTCACGTGCGCTCTCGCGCGCGCTTTTACGCGCTCTCTCACGCGCTCTCTCACGCGTCTCTCGCACGCTCTCTCACGCACTCTCTCACGCGCTCTCTCACGCGCTCCCTCACGCGCTCTCTCACGCGCTCCCTCACGTGCTCTCTCACACGCTCTCTCACGCGCTCTCTCACGCGCACTCTCATGCACTCTCTCACGCGTCTCACTCGCTCTCTCACGAGCTCTCTCTCACGCGCTCTCTCTCACGCGTCTCACGTGCTCCCTCACGTGCTCTCTCTCACGCACTCACTCAAGCGCACTCTCACTTGCACTCTCACGTGCACTATCACGTGCACTCTCACGTGCACTCTCACGTGCACTCTCACTCGCACTCTCACTCGCACTCTCACGCGCTCCCTCACGCGCACTCTCACGCGCTCTCTCACGCGCACTCTCACGAGCTCTCTCACGCGCGCGCGCACTCTCACGCGCACGCGCTCTCTCACGCGCACGTGCTCCATTACGCGCACGCGCTCTCTCACGCGCACGCGCTCCATTACGCGCATGCGCTCTCTCACGCGCTCTATCACGCGCACTCTCAGGAGCACTCTCACTCGCACGCGCTCTCTCACGCGCTCCCTCACGTGCTCTCTCGTGCGCTCTCTCGTGCGCTCTCTCACGCGCACTCTCACGCGCGCTTTCCTGCGTGTTCGCTCCCGTGTACATGCTCTCCCTCGCGCTCCGTCTCTCCCCTTCTTCAAATGAAAGTGCAATGCGAGAGGAGACCAATCTACACAAAAACTTTACGAAGAGAGCAAAGAAAACAAAAAAGACTGGAGGGAGGGGGGGAGGAGAATTCAGTGGGGGAAGGGAGGATGAAAGGACTGGGAACGCACCTGATAATCACGGTGTTTCAGAAAACAACCCGCGCTGGCGCACCAACCCGCGCTCGCGCACCAACACTCGCGCTTGCGCTCGTGCACCTGCCGCCGGAGGCGACGGCGGGGAGGAGGGAGAGGCGACGGCGGGGAGGGGAAAAGAGTCGACGACGAGGAGAGAAGGAGGCGACGGCGCGGAGGAGGGAGAGGCGACGGCGGGGAGGAGGGAGAGGCGACGGCGGGGAGGAGGGAGAAGCGACGGCGGGGAGGAGGGAGAGGCGACGGCGGGGAGGAGGGAGAAGCGACGGCGGGGAGGAGGGAGAAGCGACGGCGGGGAGGAAAGGAGAGGCGACGGCGGGGAGGAGGGAGACGCGACGGCGGGGAGGAGGGAGACGCGACGGCGGGGAGGAGGGAGAGGCGACGGCGGGGAGGAGGGAGAGGCGACGGCGGGGAGGAGGGAGAGGCGGCGGCCGGATGGGAGAAGAGACGGCGGCGGGATAAGAGGGACTGGCGACGGCGGGGTGGGAGGTAGTGGAGATGGCGGGGAGTGAGGGAGAGGCGACAGGGGGGTGGGAGTGAGAGGCGATGACGGGGTGAGGGGTGGCGGCGGGATGGGAGGGAATTGCGACGGCAGGGTAGGAGGGAGGGGCGACTACGGGATAAGAGGGAGAGGCGACGGCTGGGTGTTAGTAAAATGCGATAGCTGGATGATAGCTGGCGATGGTGGGTTGGGAGAAAATGGCAGAGAGCAGGAGGAGGAGTTCGAATTGACAGCTGGGAAGGGAAACGGAACGTAGCGCACAGGCAGAGGGAGCAGAGTAGAGCAGGTGCTCAAATCCAAGTCAGCGGAGAATTTTTTACTCGACAGCGGGAGAACGGAAGGATCTGAGGCGCTGGCAAAAAATTAGTGGTTGGGAATGTGTGGCGCTGGCAAGGTTTTTTTCTGCCAGAGCAAAACCAGGCAAGAAATGAGTTTTAAAATAAGCGTACAGTGTTATGATGATGACAGGAACTTCGACACGAACCAGGGGCTCGTTTCGGTCGCACACGTATTCGTTCGGTCAAGAGTTGGAGTGCGCTCGCGGCTCCACCCACGCTGATTCGTGCGCGGCGGAATTCTTACAAAGTCGTCCACGAATGAAATAGCTTTGTTAATTGTTACTCAGCCTTGCGAGGAAAGCAAACATGGAGCTCTTCGACATCGCGAAACGTTCACACCAATGGTGTCAACGCAGGTCAGGCGTGCGCCAATCCACATGGCACTACAAATCCATCCTTTGCATGTACCCATTTCCCCCATATTCCTCCCCTGCGCCGCCCCCGCTTCCTGCCATTCTCACTCCCTCCCCTGCCTTCCACTCACAAGTGCCCCCTTTCGGGCTCCGCCAAAAAATTCACCCAATCACCCAATAAAACCGGAAAAACCGTGGCTACTTGCTGAGAACCGATCTGCAGGGAAACGCCCCTCCTGGCGTGGAACACCCTTCGCGAACCTTCAAGAGACGTTGTACACGGTACATTTGTGATTTAATGGTTTTTAAATACGTTTATGTACGTTTCAGAGCGGTGATAGTCCGAACCGACGAATGATTCTCAGGGTGTTTCACGCCCACTTCACTTTTTCTTCACTTCTTCTTCAGGGTGAACCAACCAAGCTCGAGGCAGCCAGGCTCAAGTGAGAAGGGACGCAAGCCAAGCTGCCTTGGGATCATCATCACTCCCTACCTCCATGCTCCAGATTCGAACAATCCCTGATTGTAACAGCAGGAGTCAACCTAGAGTGGTAGGTGTGCTGTTGCTGGCGGCTGCACTGCTGGCTCCTCTAGGATCCTCGCCTGCCATAAAGGCCAGCAGGCAGCGGCGATCGCGCGCAGAGCAAGCTTAGCTGGCTGTTAGTTGGAAAAGGGATTTCCACTAATACAACATTATCTTGCGACGCCTTTCTATCGATGGCTTAAATCTGCGATTTCCTTCACTAAGGATCTGTCGAGTGGCATTTCCCGCGAGTTACAGGATCCGTGTGCGTTAACCTAATTTAGTATCTTCTCGTACCGGAAATTAAGCAATTGGCAAGGCCAAGGCTTGAGAGTTAAAAACGCAGCCATGGATGATCTCGCGAGCGTGCTTGCCGCTGCGGGCCTCAAGTCACAAGGCAAGCACACGCCGATGGTGCCGAAGCGACCCCCAGGGGGAGGCATGGGCGGAGGCATGGGGGGAGGGATGGGAGGAGGCATGGGGGGAGGCGGAGCACCCAGCTGGGGTGTCGGCGGCGGAGGAATCGGGGGAGGCCAGATGGGCGGCAGCGGTGTGGGTTCCGGATTGGGGGGAGGCACGGGGGGAGGGATGGGTCGAGGGGTGGCCGGGGGTATGGGTGGGAGTTCGGCGGGAGGTATGGGAAATCTAGGAGGTATGGGGAATTTGGGAGGTATGGGAAACTTGGGGGGTATGGGGAATTTGGGAGGCATGGGAGGAGGAATGGGAGGAGCAGGAGGAGGCATGGGAAATCTAGGAGGTGGGATGAACAAACCGGCTGCCGGTATGGGTGGTGGCATGGGTGGCGGGGGAAGTGGCAGCATGGGTAGCGGCATGAGTGCCGGCATGGGCGGCGCCATGGGTTCCTTTGGAAAAGGCATGGCCAGTGGCGGTAGTAGCGGCGGGAGTCGCGGCGCGGGTACCGGCCTTTCCAACAACGCGTTCGCGGGGCTGGGAGTGGCGGATTTCGGGCTCGGAGGCGGAAGCGGAGCGGGGAGTAAGAGCGGCGCGGGCGCAAGCTCGTCGAGTCGCGGCCAAACCCCCACGAGATCCGGACATTCCGGCAGATCGTCGCCGTCCGTGACCGAGGATCTCTCGTCAGGCTCTACTGGCGGCGGCGGCGGCGGCGGCGGAGGGGTGGCTGCGACGGCTTCGGCGTTTGACGAGCTGATGAGCCAGGGGTTCGAGATGCCGCCTTCGTCGTCGTCCGCGACGTCGTCCGCGAAAGACCGGCGCGATCCGTCGCCGGTGCCTGCTGCTCACGCGGACGACGATCTGCTGGCCGGATTCGGCAGGTACGTTGATTTCTTACGCGCCTCAAGAGCAGGTACACACGGATTCGATCTGCTGGCCGGATTCGGGAGGTACGCGAGGGGGGGGAGGAAACAAGTCTTAGCTCGTGTCACAACTCGGTGCTTGCTGCTCACGCGGAGGAGGATTTGTTGACCAGATTCGGCAGGTACGGTGATTTCTCGCTGTACATGAACAGTTACACGCGGACGGCGATTTCCTGGCTGGATTCGGCAGGTACGTTGCGGGGAGAGGGTAACAGGCGAACTCTGAAAGTGCGCGGACATGAAAAGCCGGAGCGCGGTGTTGCATGATGATGTACAGCGGTGTTTCGCGGCCCGAATCATTCGGTGAACTTTACAAGTCCCAGTTGGTTTGAAGTCCCTTTCGAGAAACCTCAAAAGCGAAATACGTTGGAGTTCTGGGTTACAGACGTCTCAAAACTCTTACCTGGGTGAAGAATACCCAAGTGCGGAATGAGGTGGGCGATCTTGGCCGTCCGTTGTAAACAGTCAATTGTGGCTCCTCGACTGATCCCCAGAACGGCGTAAGTTTGAAATCGCGGTCCCAAGTTTACCTGGAGCAGGAAAGATTGCTTCGTCCTTTCAAGTGTCGAGATTTCAGGGTCGCGACAATGCTAACGATTCGGGACGCGGTGTGCTAGTTGAGGTAGTCAATGCGCACTACTAGAATGTTTCAACTGGTATCATACCGTATCAGATTGTCTCCCACCCCCCGCTTCTCGCGTTGGTCAGCTTTAGGTGCGCGTTCAAATGGAAAGGCACACTCGGATTCGCACACTCAGTTTCTCTGTCCGTCCACTGCGGTAGGCATGCTCATGGGACCGAAATTCCTCCCCTTCTCCTCCTAAGATGTGCGCCGCTAACCAACCTGACTCTCCCCATCCCTCACGATCCTTCCCCAACCCTCCTTGACTCGCCACATCTCCATTTTCCTTCAGCCCACGAGCACCACTGTGGGCCCGTCTCCCTCGTTAGTGGGAGGGTTGTTTCCTGAAGAGAGAGGGAGGGAGGTCCCTCGCCCATGCCCTCGTTACTCGTCGCAACCATCTCTGTCACCGCTTCCCCACATTCCCTTCCCCGCATCCCCTTGTCCCCTTCCCCCCATCCCATTCCCCCCTTCCCTCCATCCCTCCCCCTTTCCCCCCTTCCCCCCTCAGTTCCGCCAAGCCCACGAGCACCGCTGGGGGACTATTCCCCGAAGAGGGAGGGCCCTCGCCCATGCCCTCGCACTCCTCCTCCTCTGCTGCGCCCTCTGCTGCTGCTGACCCGTTTGGAGTCGACCCGTTATTCGGTACAGGTGCCCCTGCCTCTGCTGCTGCTGCTGCTGCTGTTCCCGATCCTTTTGATGCGTTTGCCATGCCTACTGCTGGAAGCGGCTCGGGAGGCTCGGGATTAGGTATGGATGGGGGAGTTCCGACACAGGGCAGCGGTTTGGGAGACCAGGCTTCAGGTCCGGATATCGGTCTGGGTGACTTTGAGACGTTCGTGCAGCAGGTTCCCGTACCTGAGGTTCGGGAAGAGCCTCGGGAGGAGGCTCGGAAGGCGAGGAGGGAGGATAGCGGGGAGGCGAGGGAAAGGGAGAGGGAGAGAGAACAGGCTAAGGAGAGGGAAAGGGAAAGGGAGAAGGAAATGGAGAGGGAACGACTGAGGGAGAGGGAGGAGCGAGAGAGAGCGAGGAGAGGAAGTGACGGGTCAGCAGGAGGAGCAGGAGGAGCGGGAGCGGCAGGAGTGGGTGGAGATCGGTGGATTACGGTTGATGAGGTTATTCTTCGAACCAACCCCAGCAGCACCCCTCCTCCGCCCTCCCGCCCACCTCCTGCCACACCCCACCGCCCCCGCTCCAGTGCACCCTCTTATGCTGCTGCTGGCGGTGGTGGTGCTGGTGGTGGTGGTGGTGATGGTCCCATGCCCAGGAAAATGAGCTTTGAGAATGCTGGGGAGGGAGGGGCAGCAGGGGCAGGTGGGCGCGGGTCAGGCGGGAGGGGAGGGGAGGAAGCAGGAGGGAGACGGCAGCAGTCGGAGCAGAGAGGGGGAGGGGCAGGTGGATTGGACGGGTTTGATGAGTTTGCTGCTGGTGGCAGTGGGAGGGGAGGGGAGGAGGAGGAGGAGAGGGGGGCCCCGCCTAGGAGGCGGAGGGCGGCCAATGGGGAGTTGCCAGGTGGCGGGTATGCACCGCCATCGGATTCGGCGTCAGCAGCGGCGGCTTCATCTGCTGCAATGAAAGATGCTATGGAGAGCGCACAGAGGAAGGCTGATGCTGCCCGGGCGGCCAGAGAGAAGGAGAGGGAGCGGGAGAGGGAGAAGGAGAGGGAGAGGGAGAGGGAGAGGGAGCGGGAGGAGAGGGAGAGGGAAAGGCAGAGGCAGAGGGAGAGCGAGAAGCAGCGGGAGAAGGAGAGGGAGGCGGCGAGGCAGCAGCAGCAGCGAGCGCAAGAAGCAAAGAGCAGAGCCTCTGTGAGTGGGCGCTGGTGCTGAAGCTGGGGCTGGTGTTGCTGGCGTTGGATGGTGTGGTGTGTGGTGTGGTGTGGTGTGAGGGTGGTTGTTAGTTGCTGGGTGGATAGTCGGATGGACCACCTGGTAATGCTCTTAAAGGGCAGCTACCTGATTTCAATCAGTCGTCTGATGGGTACAACACAGCTTTGCCTCTGGATTTTAACATTTCTCTCAATGGGTTTTGTTTTTGTTTTGTTTCGTTTTTTTTCTTCTTCTTTTCTTTTCTTTTTTGTATTGCATTCTTGTATTTTTTATTCCCTCAATTTCATCATGCTGTCTCAGCTCTTCGAACCTCTCTCGCCCACCCTCCTCTCCTCCTCGCCCCACCCACGTGCAGCAACCAGCGCCGCCAAAGCAGCCTTCTTCAGCCGACGATTGGGCCGACATTCTCGGTGTGTTCCTCTCATTCTTGGTCCGTTCCAATCGTCCCGTTCTTCCCTCTTTTGAGACGTCTCAAAAGCCAACAATTGGGCCGGCATTCTGTGTGTTTCTCTCATTCTTGGTTTGTTCCCATCGTCCCGTTCCTTCCTCTTCCGCCCCCTCTCTTCCCCTCCCCATATCCCTCTCCCCCACTTCCCCCTCCCCCCCTCTCTCTTCTCCCTTCCCTCTCTTGCTTTTCCTCTCTTCATGTCCTTCTCTTCCTTTCCCTCTCGTTCCCTCTCTTCTTTTCCGTTTCTCACTCTTCCTTTCCCTCTCATACTTTCCCCCATTTTCACGCTCCCTCCGTCCATCCCCTTCCCTTCCTCTCCTCCTCTCCCTCTGCTTCTCACAGCATCCATCACCACTTCACCATCAAAATCCGCATGTCCCAATCATGTTCCCTTCAATCCCTCATTCTCTCAATCCCATCTGTTCCCTTTCTCTCTCCTTCTCCCTACCTCTGCCCCCACTCCTACTCATCCGTTTTCCCGTCACGCGTTCCCCTTCACATGAGCCAGGCGGGGGAGGGGGAGGAGGCGGCGGAGGTGGGGGGGCAGCAGCAGGCGCGCGGGCAGCGGGAGGCAGTCGGCTGGACGAGTTTCAGGAGGTGGAGGGCGAGAGTGAGGAGCGGCGGCAGCTGCGATACGAACGGTTTCAGCGCCTGCAGGAGAGAGCGGTGAGTGGGGTTGAGGGGCACAGGGAGGGGTGGTTGGGGGGCACAGGGAGGGGTGGTTGGGGGGCACAGGGAGGGGTGGTTGGGGGCCGCAGGGAGGAACGCAGGCAGGGGTACAGGGAGCGGCGTTATGATTGGTGGTCGTGAGAGAGTGGTGCGTGGGGTCGCTTAGAGGGACGGGGCACAAGCATGGACGCAGGATGGCAGGGGTGCAGGGAGGGCAGGGGTGCAGGGAGGGCAGGGGCGCAGGGATAGGAGCTCCTGAGAGGTCTAATCCCTCCTCTGCATCTCCCGGTTCTCCTTTCCCCCCATCTCCCCCTCTCCTTCAACTTCCCACCTCTGCTTTTTGAAGCGCCTAAAAAAAAACTCCTGAGAGGGCCCATCTCTCCTTCTCAATACCTCCCAGCTCTCTCTTTCCCCCACCTCCCCCCTTCCATCATCTTCCCACCTCTGCTATCCCCCCCTCCCTCTCTTAATCTCGTCCACCCTCCCGCACATTTTTTTTTTCCGCCCGCCCTTTCCCCACGGTTTCCGTCTCTCTCATTCATCGCCCCACATGCGCTCTTCCTTGCTCCGCCCAACTTCCTCCTTTCTCCCCGCCCCCACCTAGCGTCCTTTCTTCTCGTTCCACTCCTCCACCTCGTCCGCCCCTTTCTCCTCCTCCCTCCCGTCTCCTTACCGACCCCCCTTCCTCCTGTGCACCCTTTAACCCACCCCACCCCCCCTCTTCCCCCGTCCGCTCTCCCCCCTCCTTCCCCCCCGTCCGCCCTTCCCCCCTCCCTTCCCCCCGTCCGCCCTTCCCCCCTCCCTTCCCCCCGTCCGCCCTCCCCCCTCTCCACCAACTGCACCCCGTGGCAGGCAGCAGCGTTGGATGAGAAGAAGAAGCGAGACATGGACGTTCTCAAGGAGCAGGAGGACCGACACGTGAGTGATGAGGGGTGGAGAGGGGTGGGGAGGGGTGGGGAGTGGTTGTCTGGTTGGAGGAAGGAGTGAGACATGGACGTGCTCAAGGATCAAGAGGATAGACACGTGAGTGATGAGGGGTGGAGAGGGGCTGGGAGGGGTGGGGAGTGGTTGGATGATGTAGTGGAGGGAGTGAGGATGAGACATGGACGTTCTCAAGGAGAAGTAGGACCGACACGTGAGTGCTGAGGGGTGGGGAGGGGTGGTGAGTGGTTGGATGAATTGGATGGTTAAAGGTGGCGGGATTGTGAATGAGACGTGGACCAAGGAGCAGGAGGACTGGGATGTGATTGCTGAGGGGTGGGGAGGGGTGGGGGGGGGGGTGGTGGGAGGTGGGAAAGGGTGGGGAGGGGTGGGGAGGGGTGGTGCTAGAATTCCCTTCCCTTGTGGGCTTTTCCTCCCTTACCCCCGCTTCCTCCACCTCTCCATTCTCCTCCAGAAAGTCGGGGGATATTGGATATTGAGATCAAGCGGTGGTACAAATTCCCCTCCCCCTCTCTCCCCTCATTCCGCCACCCTCTTCCAGAAAGCTGGCGAGATGCTGGAAATTGAGATCAAGTGTGGTAAGGATTCTGCTCCCCCTCCCTCGTCCCCTTTCCCCCTCCCGCCCCATTCCCCCTCCCGCCCCCTTCCCGCTTATCTTTCTTCCAGAAAGTCGGGGAGTTGCTGGATATAGAGATCAAGCAGTGCAACAAATGCCCAACAACATTTTCCTTCCTTTCCCCTGCTTCCTCCCCTCCCCTCTCAACTTTTCTATCCTCAAAATGCGGGGGTAGTTGCGGGACGTTGAGATCAAGCGGCGGCCAAAACTCCGCTACGCTTCCCCCCTCCCTCGCTCCCTTTTCCCCGCATCTCCCTCTTCCAGAAAGCGGGCGAGATGGTGGATATTGAGATCAGACGCAGGTAGAAATCCGTAGAAGGGGGACCATCTCAATACAAGCGCTTCCATTTCCCCTCCCCTCCCTCCTCTTCCCTCCCTCCAGAAAGCGGGGGAGATGTTGGATTTCGAGATCAAGCGGTGGGCGGCGGGCAAGGAGGGCAACCTGCGTGCTCTCCTCTCCACATTGCAGTTTGTGAGTCTCTTGGGTGCTAACGCGTGTGAGATCCCTATTCTATGGTGTATATTTTCTGTGGTTGTGGTGCTGCCCACATGGCAGTTTGTGAGTCGCTTAGGTTATCCTGTGAGCAGCTCACAAACTTTGCTGCTTAGGTTATCCTGTGAGCCCAATCATGTGATCAACACTGCTGGTTCTCGTCCCTCGATTCAATGACCAAGTGTATCACAACATCACACAGGAACAGAATGTTCTGTCAACAGCTCATGTCAAGCTGGTTACTTCGTTGTGCGATGTGATCCACTTACACGTTTAATCGGAATAGTTTGTCTTGTGAGACAAGCTGGTTATTTCTTTGAATATTAACAAAACCATCATAGGTTTGACAACCCCTCTGTCCTTTTGAGTTGACTCAAAAGTCACCTCTGTATATTACCCAGAAATATCGGTGTAGATTACCCAGAAATATCGGTGTAGATTACCCAGAAATTACGGACTCAATCGATGTGCTACTCACCCTGTCAAGTTGTTTGTGTGTTTAAGGTGTGTATTGTACCTGTCAGGATCGATAAACTTTTCTCACTCCCTCCTTCCCTCCCTCCTCCCGACCTCCCCCCCTCGCCCCCCCCAGGTGCTCTGGCCGGAGTGCAAGTGGGAGCCTGTGGCGCTCACAGACATCATCAGGTAGACGGCTTGACGTGTGTGTGGGGGGGAGAGGAGTTGACTGGCATGTGCCATGGGGTATGGCAATGCTGGTTGAGGCATGGCAGCAAGGGGTGCGTGCAAGTGGGAGCCTGTGGCGCTCACAGACATCATCAGGTAGACGGCTTGGATTGTGTGGTGTGGTGTGCCATGGGGTGCGGTGGTGTGCCATGGGGTGCACGTTGGGGTTGGTGCTGGTGGTGTTGCTCTGCTGCTTATGCCTGCCTGCTGCACCCCCCCTCGCCCTCACACCCCCCCCCCCGCCCCCACACCCCCCCCCCCCTCACCCTCCCACCCTCAATCCCCCCTGCAGTGCAGCAGCAGTGACGAAGGCGCATAGCAAGGCAGCGCTGTGTGTGCATCACATGTGCACACGTACCCGCCCTCCCTCCCTTCCTTCCCCCCCTGCAGTGTGGCAGCAGTGAACAAGTCATATCGCAGGTGACTTGTGAGTCGACTCAAAAGTCACCTCTTTATTGCAAGGCAGCGCTGTGCCTGCTTCCTGTATGCCCACCTGCCCTCTCGCCTGCCCCTGTGTGCCCAGGCCCTCCCTCCCGCCCTCCCTCTCTCCCTCCCTTCCTTCCCCCCTGCAGTGCGGCAGCGGTGAAGAAATCGTACCGCAAGGCAGCGCTGTGTGTGCATCCCACGTGCCCACCCTCCCATCCACCCACCCTCCCTTCCCCTCCCCCCGTCCCTCCCTTCCCCCCTGCAGTGCGGCAGCAGTGAAGAAGTCGTACCGCAAGGCAGCGCTGTGTGTGCATCCGGACAAGGTGCAGCAGAAGGGCGCCACAGTGCAGCAAAAGTACATTGCTGAGGAGGTGTTCGACCTGCTCAAGGTGCGTGCTGCGTGCCAGGCCATGTTATGCCATGCCATGTGCTGTTTACCCTCGTCGTACTTCCAAATCATATTTTGATACTACATATATTTTGTTAATTGATTTGGGATTCATCTCATTACATGGGGCTCTGTGCTGTGCTACACCATGACTTGGTGTTTGTTTGTTCTACAGGAGGCGTTCAACAAGTTCAATTCCGAGGAGCTGTTTTAAGGTTTAACACAGTGCTATGGGTTGCAACTCGTATCTGAAACTAGATATTATTGAAGTTTAGCTTGCAGTTAATAGATTCCTTTACCGTACATTCTTTTGGCTATTCTGAAACATGATCTCTAGACTTAGGGTACATTCCGCGCTGGACATGTCCCAATCGAAAGTGTCCCAATCGTTTCTACCGCACTGCATCGTATTACACCAAATTGCACCCTCGTTTCGAAATTTTCGCGTCTCTGGTTTAGTTCGGTTCGGAGCGGTACACTCGATTGGGACACATCGATTGGGACAGTGACCACAGCGGAATGTACCCTTAGTTGCCTGTAAATTGCACACTAGGTCTTCGCCTAGGAATTGGGTCTTCTATCTAAACCAAAGCACTTTGATGCTGTTCGACTCTGTTATTTAGCAATTTACTATGGTTGAAGTGCAAGCTCACTTATAATCCGCCTCCTTGCACCCCGAACCGAAACGCGTACACGAGACTGCTCACCTGCAATCTCGGAACTGTTCGGAATTGAATAGACACGCCATTTTGTGCATCCAGTTACTAAGGGGACGTAATAATGTCTTACAATATGTCTCATTCTGCGCCAGAACTCCGCAAACTGTGAATTGAGGAGAGATACTCCTGGCTTGACCGCTGTTATGTAGACGCCCTCAACCACCGAGAACAGCTAGGATAAGCGGATTTCCGGTCACATGCATGCTCTACTGATGAGGGAATGACGAAGCGCCGTGCTTTCTCGTCTTCAATTCCAACGGGCAGTGGTTTTTACAGGCCTCCTACCACGCGATCGCGCCCGATTCCCGTGGTTACTTTTCACCATCAACACCGAATTCTGTACACTTTCTTGGTTTTCGCGGGCAGGTCCAAACATCTTGTGAATATTGCACACACTCATTACGACTTTGTCTTTATTGGTGCGCTGTAAAACACAGCTGTTCATGTTTCCACGAGTCTTCTGCAGTTTCATTCAACACCCATCAATGTCAGGGTTCCAGTCAATAAGTGCGTGACACCTTGGACTAAACTTGGCTGGTTAAGCACCGTTGCATGCACGCGCGCAACGGTCTGTCATTTCATCGTCCTTGCTTCACGTCGACTTCTCCCCCGTCAACGTCTCGTGAGCACGCAGTCGCCATTTCCTCCGTGGGTCTCTCGTGGACAAAGGGTTTTTACATCATTGAGTAGCGACTCATTTGTTCTCTCATTTTCACCTCTACTTGTCAATTAGCATAGCATCCTCCTCTCCGCCTTTTCCAAACCAGCCGCAGTTCATAAAGTTCACGTAGTGCTTGTTAGGTTAGCTCACGATGACGCCTCCTAGGCATTCTACACGCCTCAAGACCCAAAAAGCCGTAGGTAATCAAACCGCCGTTACGCGAGGGAAACGATCAACCAGGGGCAAGCAGGATGCGAGCGATATTGTGCCGGCTCCGAGCCCAGAATCGAAGGTCCCGGCTATATTAGAAGGCGTAGATGTGCTGCCGGAGCCCGACGACATAATATCAAGGTTCGCGAAGGGTGTCAAAGTTCTTGACAGCGTGAACGATAAGCTTCCTAGGTGTGTTAAGAGTAACCATTTCCCAACTCATGAGTTAAAAAATCATCACGGCCAGAGAGCGAAGGTGACAATCATGGATGCCCTCCACATACAGGATGGTTACGAGCTATCGACCTCAAGTATCGACTTTCACAACGTGTAAGTCCTGATACGCGGTTTACTAGTATTACTTACTCATCGCCTTCATTTTAATGGTCATTCGTGTTCGTATCATTTCAGGGTGTTGAGCCTTCTTTACAAGGAGCTTCCAGACGGAAAAACGTGGTTGGCGCTTGACACGCTCGCCTTCCAAACCGTCACCGGGGGACAGGAGCTTGCATGCGGAGTCGACTGCAAAAATCTGTTCGAGCACGACTACGTCTGCATCGTGGTTTTCAACAAGTGAGGGAGACATTAATTTGGTTTAGGGTGGTTCACAGAGCTCTCGTTTAAGGTTCATCCATGTTTCCGACGGTTGTCTTCATGTCCCGACTTCCGCTCCATTGTTTCTCTGCAGGGAACCAGTACATCATTTCAGCCTTGTGGTTGTTAGGGACCCCCGTCTGCTGCTCCTAAGTAACGAGGAATACCAAGCCACGGCGCCGGAAGAAATAGTTCTAGCAGTCCTTTACGACTTCGCACGCGTCCATTACGACCAGCGCGAAGCCGTGTTCACAAACACCAACACGTGAGTTTAGGCTGCGGCAGCATTTTTATGGGCCTTACTATCATCTTTCGTGCTCACGTGTAGACCTTGTGTTGAAAAAACCACTGTTACTGATCCATCCGCAGGCTTCTTGGGCGGGCCCTTAAAAAGGCCTGCCCTGATCTGCCATGGGAAGAAGTGACAGAGTGGCTCACACGCGTGCACAGCCGAGGCCTTCAAGTGAGTTTGTCAAATTTGTGTTTGATGTCACGCTGTCTGTAAGAAGCACAACACGATTTACCTGCTTCAAAGTGACTATGTTTATCTTTTTTTTTTTATCTTGTGTTTAGCAGTACTTCGAAGTACCCCAGCAACAGAACGACGTAGACTGCGGGGTCTACGTCTGCATGTTCATCAAGGAGCTTGTATTCCGCTGCTTCCAATTCATGGAAGAAGGGATTCCGAAACTCCGTTATAGGGGCGCGCACTACAGGCGCGAAATCCGTGCTCTGATGTGCGAGGCCGGCGAAGGTACTCTGCTGGAATCGCTGAAACTGAAGGGGGCTGATATTCCACCACAGAGTGAGCAGCAGCAAGAGGAAGAAGGTGAGAGCGACGACGTAGTTGAGGTCGATCTTGAGACCAAGGTTAAAGATCTATCGGCAGAGCAGGCTGTCCAAGCTGCCCAGATCAACAGCCTTTCGGAAGACATGGATAATCCGAAAGCCTTGGTTTTTAAGGGTGGGGAGGGAATCGTCAAACTGACGGTGTCTGTGTCATCACTGTTTACCGCCTTTCAGCAGCTGGCTGCACATGCAGGGTTCAAGCTGCCGATGGCTGCCCTGGAGGGTTTGAACAGGCCTGAAGCCGGCGACTCCTCCACTGCTGTAGTAGCTCCTGCTACAACAAGAGGTGCTCTTCACACCTCTGCTGTTGCTCCGTCACTTGCGCGTAGACCACTTTTCGGCCAGATTCCAGGGTTCGTGCAAGCCCAGGGAGCCACATCCGGTGCACAGAGGTCTAGGGCGGGTGACACAGGTCCCGCAGCCGGCGCTTCATCCTCCGCGGCTGATCAGGCGGGTGCTGCAGCATGTGTTACTACAGCAGCAACGGGTCAGCCAGGTGCCTCTGTCCGTGCTCCTCATGCTGGAGCGGGTCAGCCAGGTGCCTATGCTGGTGCTCCACCAGCTGGAGCGGTTCAGCCAGGCTCCTCTGCCGGTGCTCTTCCAGCTGTAGCGTGTCTGCCAGGTGCAGCAGCCGGTGTTTCACCAGCAGCCGCGGGTCAGCCAGGTGCAGTGGCCGTTATTCCAACAGCAGCAGCGGGTCACCCTGTCAGAATGTTATATTTGTCTAGCCTGCAGTGGGGTACTCAATAGTGAGTGCAGCCCAATTTAGGGTTTGCTATATGTACTCAACTGCCTGCTAGTGAAACCCCTCTTCTCTGTTTCATTTCATTCGTTCACTATTCTAACATGCTATCAGAGCAGGTCGACCCTCCCGGGTCGATCCTGTGGATGGGCCCACCGTTAGCTTCTGCTGCTGTCCTACCTATCGCGCGCCTCGGGCGCACGCCGTTTTTCTGCCTGCCGTGCGCTCATGGCGCGCGGCACTTTTTCTTCCCACTGCGCGCCCGGGGCGCGCGGCGGTTTTCTGCCCGTTGCGCCGCCCTGGTGGTCGCGCGACGCCCTGCCCTGCCCGTCGTGCGCCCCGTGGCGCGCGACGGTGCCCTGCACGTCGCGCGCCCCGAGGCGTGCGGCGGTTTCGTCGCCTGTCGCAGCGCCCTGGGGGGGTCGCGCGTCGCCCCCCTCCCGTCGCCCGTCGTGGCGCCCTCGGGGGCCCGCGAGCGCCCCCCCCCCCTTCCATCGCCCGTCGTGGCGCCCACAGGGGCCCGCGCGTAGTTCCCCCCCCCCTCCCCCCTCCCCCCTCCCCCCTCCCGTCGCCCGTTGTGGCGCCCTCGGGGGCCCGCGCCCCCCCCCCCCCCCCCCCTTCCTGCAGCCCGCGAGCCGCCCCTCGCCGCCTCCTGTCCTCGTGCACCTGTGGGGTGGCGGGTATGGGGGTGGCGGGTGTGTGTACCGTCCCCTCCTCCTCCTCCTCCGTCTCCCACTGCTGCAGCTGCCGCTGAGGGGGGTGGGTGTGTGGGAGCCGAAGGAGTGGTGCTAGGGGGGTGTTGTGGGAGTGAAGCTAGGGGTGCAGCAGGGGGTGTGTGAAAGGGGGGTGGGAAATTTTGGGGAGGTTGAAGGGAGGTAGCCGTCGTGTCGCCAGCAGCGCCAGTAGTCCGGAGGCTACAATCTCCGGTAGCCCAGCGAGCCTGCTGCGCCAGTCGCCCGTGGGTCCGTTGCTCCTGCCGCTCAGAGTTAGCCGCGGAGCCAGTTACTCCAGTAGTCCGGAGGCTACAATCTCCGATAGCCACAGTGCGCGCCGCACCTGTTGCCCGTGTATCTGCGGCTTCACCTGTCGTCTCCTATCTCCACTCCTCTCACAATCCCTCCTCCTCCTCACTTACCATCTGTGACTGCCTCTAGCTTTGCTTATATTTGTGAACTATTGCTCTGCTTGCTTATTGTGCTGATTACACCCCACTTTGGCTATGGGGGTGTGTCAGAATGTTATATTTGTCTAGCCTGCAGTGGGGTACTCAATAGTGAGTACAGCCCAATTTAGGGTTTGCTATAAGTACTCAATTGCCTGCTAGTGAAATCCCTCTTCTCTGTTTCATTTCATTCGTTCACTATTCTAACACACCCAAGTGCAGAAGCCGGTGTTTCAACAGCAGCAGCGGGTCAGCCAGTTGTAGCACCCGTTATTCCAACAGCAGCAGCGGGTCAGCCAAAGGCAGCAGCCGGTGTACCTACAGCAGCAGCGGGTCAGCCAGGTTCTGCAGGCGTTGCACTAACAGCAGCGGTGGCGCAGCCATGTGCTACCGCGGGTGCTCCAAAGGCGGCAGCGGGTCAGCACGGACCCGCCACGGGGGTTGCTATCAACGCAGGCGTGGTACGGCCTGGAGACGACTGCTGGGATATATTGGGACCGGGGTCGGATCTCACCAATTTTCCACCATGTGTGCAGGTCTAGGATGGAATTGGGTCGCAAGTAGCGGATGACGCTCCGAGGACAGATGTGCTTCACACAAGTTCAGCGGCATGGACATCAGGAGAACAGCTGTTCGTGCCCTCGAGTTTTCCACCCGGGATGCATCTCCAGGGGTTTCGTGCACCAGGAGCGGGGGTGTTTGCTCCACAGGCATGTGGTGTTCAGCCTGGAGCATCTGCACATGTCGCGCCAGCAAGGCCTAGTGGTCATGCTCTGCATCATCCCAACTTGCTCTTCCACAGATCAGGACATCCAACCGCGTCCGTGTCTTTGCATGCTACTTAGGGCTATGGTAGCGCACTGTGCATCATGTGTGGATATGACTTTTAGTGTATGCTTACTTTTCTTACATTGTGTAGGCTATAGTGGGGTAGCCCATAAGGGGTACAACCCAATTAGGATTAGTACTTTTACCCAACTGTTTCATAGTTCATTCATTCTCGTTCATTCTTCTGACATGGTTTCAGAGCAGGTCCTTCGCTAGGACCGTTTTTTTTCCTTGGGCCCACCACTGCGCTGCCCCACTAGCCGCCCCTAGCCCGGCCCGTCGCCCCTAGGCCCGTCGCCCCGGCTCGGCCCCCCTAGCCCGGCCCGTAGGCCAGTCGCCCCTTGCCCGGCCCGTCGCCCCTTGGCCGGCCCGTCGCCCCTAGCCCGGCACGTAGGCCCGTCGCCCCTACCCCGGCCCGTCGCCCCTTAGGCCCGTCGCCCCGACCCTGTCGACCCTAGGCCCTGCAACCTGCCCCGTCGACCCTTGGCCCGCGCGCCCCGTCGACCCTAGGCTCGCGTGCGCCCCGTCGACCCTAGGCCCGCGCGCGTCCTGACGACCCTAGGCCCGCGCGCCCCGTCGACCCTGCCCCCGTGACCCGCCCCGTCGACCCTCAGCCCCGGTGCCCCGTCGACCCTAGGCCCGTCGCCTCTAGGCCGGCCCGTCGCCCCTAGCCCGGCCCGTTGCCCCTAGGCCCGTCGCCCCGGCCCGTCGCCCCTAGGCCGGCCCGTAGGCCCGTTGCCCCTAGCCCGGCCCGTCACCCCTAGGCCCGTCGCCCCAGCCCGTCGCCCTTAGGCCCGTCGCCCCTAGGCCGGCCCGTCGCCCCTAGCTCGGCCCGTAGGCCCGACGCCCCTAGGCCAGGCGCACCGGCCCGTCGCCCGACGCCCCTAAGTCCGCGACCGACGCCCCTACGCCCCGGCCCGTCGCCCGTCGCCTCTAGGCCCGCGCCTGTCGCTACTAGGCTCACGCCAGTCGACCCCAGGCCCCGCGAGCCGCCCCTTCCGACCCACCCCTCGATCCTGCAGCCCATGAGCCGCCCTTGCAGCCCCGTGCGCCGCCCCTGGTGGCCCACTCGCCGCCCCTGCTACTCTGCTAGCCGCCCCTTGCGGCCCTCTCACTGCCCCTTTGCTGCTGCCTGCCCTGTGCTCTGCGCTGCTCTGCTTCTCCTCGCTCTGCGTGCTGCGCCACTATGGCTTCTCTTCGTGTCCTCGCTTTTGATCCTGAGGGCAGCCCTATCCAGTTTGACACGTGGCTCGACGACCTGCAGCTGTTCCTACTGAGCGACTCTAGGGACAGTGTTTCGTTGTTTGACCACACGTCTGGCGCCGCTCCCGCCCCTCCCGCCACAGCTGACAGTGCGACCCGCTCACAGTGGCTTACTCACGACGCTGCTGCCCGCTTAGCCATTCGAAACCACCTGCCGTTGGCCGAATGCGCTCACTTCAAATAGCACAGGACAGCACAGGCACTGTACGACGCTTTCGTCGCTCGCTACTCCTCGCCTGCCACTGCTGCTCTAGGCCGCCTCCTACTGCTCTACCTGTTCCCCGAGCAATCCGCCTTTGCCACAGTAGAGGACCTAGTTTCCCACCTTCGCACTAGCGACACTCGCTACCACGCTGCCCTCCCAGCAGAGTTCCTTGCCAAGAACCCACCCCCGATGTACATCACTCTTTACTTCATAGTCACCCGCCTCCCTGACTCTCTTCGCGTTGTCAGGGACCACTTTCTCGCCCTTGACCCCACAGTCCTCACTGTTGACCTACTCGAGCAGCACCTCCTTGCAGCTGAGACTAGTGTAGTCACTGTAGGTGCTGCTCGTGGCACTCCACGCACGCCCTCCTTAGAGGGGTGCTCCCCCTCCCCCCTTGCTCCCTCCTACACCTCTGCTACTACTGCTGACGTCCCTGGTGCTGCGGACGTCGGGGCCGCTTCTGCTATCGCGAAGCGCCGCAACAGCAAGGGCAAGGGTGGCAGGGGTGGTGGCGGTGGCAGCTGGGGTGGTGGTGGGGGCAGCAGTGGAGGTGGTGGGGGCACTGGAGGTGGTGGCAGCGGTGGAAGTGGTGGCGGGAGTGGGGGCTTTGGTGGCGGCGGTGGAGGCAGCGGTGGGAGTGGCGGTAGTGGCAGCGATGTGAGTGGTGGCGGTCGGACTCGAGCTCCGCGTGGAGGTTCTGGAGGAGGCCAGAGGCAGCAGGAGCAGCGTCGGAGCGAGACCCCGTCGCCCCAGCAGCTTCGTGAGTGGTTTGCTCTGCGTGGGGCGTCTTGGGGTAGTGTTAGCTGCCCGTATGTCATTCGCACGGGTGACCGTGCTGGTCAGACATGCAGGAAGCTTCACACTCAGCACCGCTGCTTCTCCCGCCTCGACGACGCGTGGCGAACACAGTTTGATGACGAGGCTGAGCGCCCCCGCTGGGCAGACCTGCTTAGGACTGGAGTTGCTATCTTTGACCTAGACTTTGATGCTATCCTTGCTGCTATGTATGCTTTGTCTACTAGTGCTAAGGGTGACTGTTACCTGTGTGTGCCGCCTGAGCCAGGTATAGAGGCTGCTGCTCTAGGTGCTAGTGAGTCGGTTCTCTCAGGTACTGCGCCTGCTGAGGCCTTGCACACCTTCACACTTGACTCGGGTGCCTCACGCTGTTTCTTTCGTGACAGCACCACCCTCACTCCTCTCTCTGCACCTGTACCGGTCAGGCTGGCTGACCCCTCCGGGGGACCTGTCCTTGCCCGTTCCTCCACTGTGCTCCCGTGTCCGGCAGTTCCGTCCGGTTCACTGTCAGGCCTTCACCTCCCCTCGTTCTCTACGAACTTGGTGAGGACCGCTGCCCTCCAGGACGCGATGGTCACTGCCACCGCTCCTGGAGGTCAGCGTGTGTCGATCTGCACGTGTACACGGACGGGCCGTCACCTTGCTAGGTTCACTCGTCGGCCAGGGTCGAGTCTGTACACACTGGCTACCGAGCCTCCTCAGGTAGCGGCGTCTGCTCAGGTGTCCGCGTGAGCTCAGGTAGCACCCCCTTGCTCGTGTCGCCTCCTGTCGCACCAAACCCTTCTGTGGCCCCACCGCTTGGGTCACCCCTCCCTGCCACACCTTCGTAGCATGCACTCCCGCCTCCGTGTCTCTGGTCTTCCCAGGTCTCTGCCTCCCCTCCCGCCCTGGCCTGCCCCGCCTTGCCTTCCCTGCGTCGAGGGGCGGCAGCGTGCCGCTCCTCACTCCTCGTTTTCCCCGACGACTGCTCCCCTGCAGACTCTCCACATGGACGTGTGGGGCCCAGCCCGCGTCAGTGGACAGGGCCGCGAGCGCTACTTTCTGCTGGTTGTTGACGACTTCACGCGGTACACCACGGTCTTCCCCTTACGCAGCAAGGGCCAGGTTGTTGATGTCTTGATCCCTTGGATCCGCACAGTCCGTCTCCAGCTTCGTGAGCGGTTCCGTACAGACCTTCCTGTCCTACGTCTGCACTCTGACAGAGGTGGTGAGTTGTCCTCCGACCTCTTGCGGGACTTTTGTCGTGGGGAGGGCATTCTCCAGTCGTTCACGCTTCCGGACTCCCCTCAGCAAAATCGGATTGCTGAGCGCCGCATTGGCCTAGTCATGGAGGTCGCTCGTACCTCTGGCCCCGTGTCTCCTTGCCGGAGACCTCGCCTACACTGCGTTGGACGGGGAAGGTTGGCGATGCGTCGATGTTCCAGGTCTGGGGTTCTCGTGCCTTTGTTCGCGATACGTCTGCGGACAAGCTCTCCGCCTCCGCTATTCCCTGCGTCTTCCTTGGCTTTTCCCCTGACGCGCTTGGCTGGCAGTTTTACCACCCCACCTCGCGCCGTGTCTTACCCTCTCAGGACATCACTTTTGACGAGTCGGTTCCCTTTTACCGTCTCTTCCACTACCGCTCTTCTCCTCCCCCAACCCCGCCACTCTTCCTTGCTCCAGGTCCCCTTTCCGGTAGACCCCCTCCCCCCCTAGGGTCCTGCTCCCTCAGGTGTGTCTTAGGTAGACCCTCTCCTTGGTACTGCGCCTGTTGAGGTAGCTGTCGGCTCAAGCGTTGCTCCAGGTGCTGTGTCTGGGGGTGCTGCGTCTGGGGGTGCGGAGCCTGGGGGTGCGGAGCCTGGGGATGCGGAGTCTGAGGGTGCCGGGTCTGGGGGTGCGGAGCCTGAGGGTGCGAAGTCTGAGGGTGCCGGGTCTGGGGGTGCTGAGCCTGGGGGTTCTGAGCCTGCGGGTGTGGAGCCTGGGGGTGCTGAGCCTGCGAGTGTGGAGCCTGCGGGTACTGCGTCTGAGGGTGCGGAGTGTGGGGGTGCTGAGCAGAGGGTTACTGCTTCTTCAGGAGGTCCTGCGGGTGCTCTACCACGACTGTCTCCTCGCCTGGAGCCTCTCTCCCCGCAGCAGCTGCGCGAGTGGTTTGCTCAGCTCACCCGCCTTCAGAGTGGAGCTGCCGGAGCTGGAGTCTCTACCACTGGAGACACTTGGGCTGGAGGTGTTGGAGTTACTGCTGGAGCTGGTGGTACTGGAGGTGCTGCAGCTGCTGGTCCTGGAGGTGCTCATACCGGGGGTACTGGAGCTGCCGGGAGCTGGAGCTGGAGACCCTACGGAGCTGGAGCTGGAGACCCTACGGAGCCTGGAGCTGCTGGGGCTGGAGGAGCTGGAGCTGTTGTCGCTAGTGCTGGAGGCACTGGCATGGGAGGCGCTGGAGCTGGAGGAGCTGGAGCTGTTGACCCTGGAGCTGGAGGTGCTGGAGGCACTGTGCGGCCGCGACCGTACTTCGTTCCCCTGCTTCAGCAGGTTCTTGGTGTCCCGTCTTCTCCAGACCAGTCGAAGCCGCCGTTACAGCCAGCCTCCCCACTGCCTGCTCCTTCTCCTTACACGGAGCAGACTGGCGGTCTTACAGAGCGTCGTGAGCCTGCGTCTCGTCTTGCCTCCCCTGTTCGCACTGGTCGTCGCGTTCCTTGTCTGCGTCCCCCTCCTGTCCCCGGCACACACGCTATGGCACTTCGTCCTTCCTCTGTTCCACTGCGTGTTCCTCTA